GTAGATGGCCACGGCTCTTTAATATATTCGAATTGCCATGATTTCTTGAAACAAATACTGGAAAGGTTTCCTTTTGACTTCTTCATGGCTTTAAATTAGTAGTTGTCCTTCGTCTTTCTGGTTGCGAGACGCAAGTATACCGTTTTATTTAACCCATAGCTGTGTGGAACGAAGGCGTGACACATTCGGGTAGTGCAAGATTTAATTGATCCGATATAGAAATGGACCAGTGCTTCTTTTCTCCGACCAGAAGAAGGATAGACTAAGCTGTCTAACCTTGGCTGGCCAACAAAAGCACCCCTTCACCGAATCATTTGTGAGGATATATCAGGCCGGAAAAGCACACAGTGAATTTTGGGGGAGAATGTCTATATTTTCTTGAAGAGGTAGAAGATATAGGTTCATGCCTTTTTGATGAGGTAGGAAAATGGATTCATGCCTTTCTGAGGAAATAGAAAAGATAGTGTCATGCCTTTTTGATGGTGGTAGAAGGGATGCATTTATGCTTTCTTGATGGATAAGAAAATAGATTGATGCTTCTTTGAGGGTGTAGAAGAGATGGAGTCATACCTTTACGTGCTTGGTAAAAGTGATCGATTCATGCCTTTTTGAAGAGGTAAGAAAATCGATTCATGCCTTTTTGAGGTTTGATAGAACACATGGAGTCATGCCTTTTTGAGGGGGGTAAGAAAATCTGTTGATGCCTCTTTGAAGGGGTGCAAGAGATGGATTCATGACTTATTTTGAGAGGTATGAAAATCGATATATGCTTTTTGAGGTTGGTATAAACATGGATTTATGCCTTTTGAGGGGGTAAGGAAATCGATTCATGCCTTTTTGAGGTTAGTAGAAGAGATGGTGTCATGCGTTTTTGAGGGGGGTAAGAATATCTGTTGATGCCTCTCCGAAGTGGTAGAAGGGATGGATTCATGCCTTTTTGTAACATGCTCTCATTTAAAGATGTCAAATTTGTATATATTTTTTCTCAAACAGACAAGAAATAAATAAAAATCCTCTCTATTTATAAATAGTTCAAATTCCCCTTTCGGATGACATTATTGATAACAGTCTAAGAACTATAAACATTTCGGCCATTATAATATCATAACAGACATGTCTATTCGACAATGTGGAATTTGTAACAGCTTTAATATCTTGCATAGAAGCACTTATTCGACTCAGTCATTGGATAAGCGTCTACATCTTTTAAAATGGTGTATCAAAGGCAAACCATTTTCTCGATAAGTGATTCGTTCCAAGAAAAGTTAGACAAAAAAAAGTAGATGAAATGCACTAAAAATATCTACTTTCAATTTTTCGTTCAAAATTCCTCTGGCAAATATCATACCAGTTTTATTTTATTTTTTATAACAGACTATCGAATTTATTCAATGATCCGGCTTTTTAACATTTGGATCCGATATTGTAAAGAATGTCTGCTTTTTTATAGCTTCTCTTTTCTTTTCTTTTTCTACCCCTTTCTTTCTTTCATTCCTTTATAACACGATTTTTTATGAAGCCAATGTTAATTATGAATTAAATCAGAATAAAAGAAAGTATTGCAATGTATGATAAAAGACTAGAACGTCATCCTTGTGCATACACATTGTTATATAAGGGTCAGAATTTAGAATTGGAACGTTTCAGTAATAGCTAATGCCTGCGTGTGTGTGCGTGTGTGTGTGAGAGAGAGAAAGAGAGAGAGAGAGAAAGAGAGAGAGAGAGAGCTCGCGCCCCTGCTTATGTCTATCTTCCATGATTTTGTAACTGTCACCTCGCCCCACCATTTTTAGGTTTATTAGGAAAGATAATTCGAAATGCTGGCGGCTGTTCTTTCTTTCGGTAGTTAAGGCTAACTCTGAACTTTCGAAAATCAGGAAGAAAAAAATTATTAGGAATCAAAGAAATAATGGCCAGGATGTTGATGAGTTCGTTTCGTTTTTGAAGGAAGAAAAACTCGCAGACAGATTCGCCGCGTACTTTTTATTAGTTATTTCATTTGTTTTTGCTTTTTTATTTCTCTTTTTCTTCTTCTTTAACTTTCCCACCAAACATATTCGTTTCTATTTTCATTCAATCCTTTTTCTTTTCTTTTTTCTTCTTTCTTTTGACTCTCTCCTCTTCTCCATTATTTTCGTTTCTTCTCGTCCTTTTTTCATTTTTCCTTTCTCGGTCCGATTGTTTTCTTATGTTCTCGTTCTGTTTTTCTTTTTCTTCTCGTTCTATTTTTTCTTTTTCTCTTTCTTCTTCTTCTCTTTCTTCTTTTTCTCTTTCTTCTTCTTCTCTTTCTTCTTCTTCTCTTTCTTCTTCTTCTCTTTCTTCTCGTTCTGTTTTGTTTTTTTCTGTTTCTTCTTTTTCTTTTTCTTTTCGTTCTGTTTCTTTTTATTCTCTTCCTTCTCGTTCAGCCACCCCTTGTTTTCCTCTTTCTTCTCATTCTGTTGCTTCTTTTTCTCTTTCTTCTCCTTCCCTTTCTACTTTTTCTCTTTCTTCTCGTTCTATATCTTCTTTTCTTGTTTCTTCTTGTTCGGTTTTTTTGTTATTTTTCTCAGACTTCTATTTTTGTTTCTTCTTTTTCTTTTTCTTCTCTTTTTTATTTCTTTTTCTCTTTCTTCTCGTTCTGTTTCTTTTTCTTTTTCTCTTTCTTCTTGTTCTGTTTCTTTTTTTTTCTGTTTCTTCTTATACTGTTTCTTTTTTTTCTGCTTCTTCTCATTTTCTTTTTTCTGTTTTTTTTTTCTAATTTTTCTCGTTCTTCTCTTTTTACCTCTTTCTTTTTTTTTACTTTTTCTTTCTCATCCTACGCTTTTCTGTCTTTCATCTTTTGCTACATATTCTTTCTCTTTCTACTTTTGCTTCTCGTCTTTTCTCATTCGTTTACTACTTTTCTCGTTATTTTTCTTCGTTTCTCTTTCTTCCCTTTACCGTCTTTTTTCTTTTCTTTTTCTTTTATCATTCTACCATATTTAATTTCTTATTCTTTCTTTTTCCTTTTCATTTCTATTTCTTTCTGTTTTCTTTTGAATTCTTTTTACTCATTTTCTTACTCTCTTTTCCTTCTTTTTCATCGCTTTTTTTTTTATTAATTTTCTCAATTTCTCCTTTCTCTTTTTCATTCTATCCTTTTTTTTTTTTTTTTTTCTTTTCTCATTTTTTTTATTTTTCCTTTCAGGCTCATCTTTTTATTTTGCTATTCGCCTGTTTTGCTTCTTTTTTTCTTTCTTTTCATATTTTTCTTTCGATTCTTTTTACTTTTTCTTCATTTTTCTTCATCTTCTTTTGCTCTTGTCCCTAGATTCGTTTGAAAAAACGAAAAATATATCTCATTTTTAATTCCATATTTTCTTCATTCGTTACAGGATTTGTTCTGTTTTTGTATATTTTTTTTTTAATTTTCGTCTTTTTGTTTTCATTCTTTCTGCCTTCGTTGATTCATTTTTGTCTCTTATTCTTTCCTTTTTTTCTTCTTTTTTCTTTTTCATTCTTCTAAGTATTCTGTATTTCCAGCAAATACTTTCTTTTTTTTTCTAAACCTACGCATTTTATTCTATTCTGTTCGTTTCTTATATGATTTTTTTTCTTTCTTTCTTGCTTTTTCCTTCCTTTTTCCTTTCTTTCTTTCTTTCTTCTTTCTTACTTTCTTTCTTTCGCTCTTTTTCATTTTTATTTTTCTTTCTTTTTCTTTTTCTTTCTTTCTTTTTTCTTTCTTTCTTTGTTTTTCTTTCTTACCTTATTTCTTTTTCTTTCTTACCTTATTTCTTTCTTCTTTCTTCTTTCTTTCTTCCTTTCTTTCTCTCTTTTTATTTCTTTTTTGTTTCGTTCTTTCTTTCTCTTTCTTTTTCTTTCTTTCTTTCTTTTTCTTTCTTTCTTACCTTATTTCTTTTTTCTTTCTCCTTTTTTTCTGTACTTTTTAAGATATTACTTTCTTTTTAATTTTCTTCCTTTTTAACCACTGTCTGACTTGTACACCGTTTGTTTTGGTTTTTTTACTTTCTTTCTTCCTCTCTTCGACTTCTCTCCTAACTGCCACCCGCCATTCCTCAACTTCTTTTCTTCATTTCATCATTATTGCTTTTCTCACCGACCTCCATAATTCACTCCTTATTCTCATTTCACTTGTTCCTTCTTTCTTTTTTTTTTCCTCATCCACCTTTCATTTTTGTTTTTCTTTCCATTTTTTTTTCTTCACTAACCTCACTATCTTCCTTTCTTTTTCTTTCGTCATTTCTACAACCCCCCCTCATATATTTGTTTGTCTTTCTTTCTTTGTCTTTTCCTATACCTTTCTTTCTTTGTCAATAAGCTTTCCTTTCTTGTTTTCATCAAACTTTATTCATCTAATTGTCTATCTTTTTCTTTCTTTCTTCCTTTCTCTCTTTTATTTCTTTCTTCTTTCTTTCTTTCTTTTTTATTCTTTTTCTTCTTTCTTGCTTTCTTTCTTTTTCTTTCTTACCTTATTTCTTTTTTCTTTCTTTTTCTTTCTTACCTTATTTCTTTTTTCTTTCTTTCTTCGTTTTTCTTTCTTTCTTTTTCTTTCTTACCTTATTTCATTTTTTTCTTTCTTTCTTTCTTCCTTTTTCTTTCTGTCTTCTTTCTTCCTTTCTCTTTTTTATTTCTTTTTCCTTTTTCTTTCTTTTCCTTTTTACTTCTGTCTTATTCTTTCTTTCTTTATTTATTTCTTTTTTCTTTCTTTCTTTGTTTTTCTTTGCTTTTCTTTCTTACCTTATTTCTTTTTTCTTACTTACTTCCTTTTTTCTTTCTTTTTTCCTTTCTTTCTTTCTTTTTCTTTCTTTTTTCTTTCTTTTTTTCTTTCTTTCTTTTTTCTTTCTTTCTTTGTTTTTCTTTCTTCTTTCTTTTTTTCTTCCTTTCTTTCTTTTTTCTTTTCTCTCTTTTTATTTCTTTTTACTTTCTTACTTACTTTTTCTTTCTTTCGTTTTCTTTCTTTCTTCCGATTCCCCCTTCCTTCCATCATTTGCCATAATTATATGCCATTTTCCCTTATCTGATTCAAGAAATTCATTGCAATTTAATACAAAGTCACTCCTGCAAATTTCTATGCCATCCCAACAACGTTCATCTCAGAGGCAAGCATGCAACATAAAATGTTCGGTTTTGTATGATTTCGTCAAAATACTGTTTATCTCACGCAAATATTCATTTTTGCATACCCACACTTACAACACATACCCATATGTTTAAGATGGGGTGTTGAAAAGGTTATCCGCTCTTCCAAGAAGCCTTGCCTCCTAAAATCTTAGGTACGGTCATTTGGTCATATGTGAAAGATTGCAGCGAGCCGTGGATATCACCCTTGTATAAATATAGATACATACATACATACTTATATATGAGTTAAAAATCAAATGCAGATCAAATATGGACCAGAATCCGATAGGATGATAAAATAAAGAACAAGTAGGAAACTTATATCAATTTAACATGTTTCAATTTTATTAAAGCTTCGTTAGATATTGAGAGAAAACAGACAAAAAAAGTTTGGTATATTCAATTTTATTTCGGTCTGTTCTCATTGGTCAGTCACGTATCACGTGCATTAAAACCGTAGAAAATTTTATATGTATATAACTTTGTGTGTCTGTCTACTGGGAGTTCTAATGTCTTCACCTTTGTGCGGTCAGTGTTTGATCCTTTTAAGCATGTATTCTTCGTTTAAGATAGATATAAGTTAGATTGTTTAAGAATGGATTTAAAAAATGATGGCGATGTAATGTAACGTTTTAGGCGTATGTTTATAGTTGGTAAAGTTACACTATTTACATTATTCGGAATATTGTCCTCATTTTGTCGCCATATTTATTACAACGTTTCGGTCGTTGTACGCTCCGGCCTTCTTCAGGTGGTTGGAATGTCGAACTGAACCCTTTATTTCGCTCACTGGGGTAGACTGTTCTAGTTTCACGTGCCATGTTTAATGGATATCAGTTATCAGTTATCGCCTTTTAATTCCCCTCTCCAAGTTGTCCACTGCCTTAACTGGGTATTGAACTCACACTCTAAAGGGTTCAGTTCGACATTCCAACCGCCTTACCTTATTACAAAACTATTTGACGTATAAATATGTAATGTTTTTTTTTTTAAAAAAAAAAGATTATTTCTAATGTGGCTACAAACGACAAAACTGAGTTGAATATTGCAAGTAGTTAACTTATATATCTAAGCAGAAATAAGACATTTTGTCTCTGTACCAATTTATATGCTAATTAATTTATATGCTAATTAAACATATAAATGCATAAACGGTGCGCAGAGGATTTTAAACACATTCTGAAAGAATGAATAAAACAGAATAAGATTTGCATTTTGGAATTTAAGTTATTGCAAACATCTAGCAAGCATCTTAGCAAATAAAAGACACAGTATTAAATATTGAATGAAGTTTATTGAGATTTCAAAATCTTTATGCCTTTTATGTTGAATTTCCCAATAAATTTTCAAATAAACAAAATGTTCCTAATTCCTTTTAGATATGGAATATAAGTATTTACGATGTTCAATATAAACTTTAAGCTTGTAGCCTCATTGAAAACTACTTTTCTCCAAAGAACTTTTAAAATTTTCATGCACTTAATACTTTCGTATGTGACTGCATACACATATCATTTCTTTAACGTTATATTCAATGGGCACACGTGCTCGAGTAGACATCCCTGTTTTTAAACAGTGAAATTTATGTCTACCGGCTTAGAGATCGAAGGTCTTATTGAAAAATAAAACGCGTCTCCTCAAGAATAAAACCTGGGCTCCGTTTTTAATCGATGAAATGGCCAGTCACGGTTTAACATTAAATTATCCCAACAAATCAAGGGTCAATTACCATCTATAATAAATGCACATCCCTTGTAGGTAATCTTTTCATTGTTTTAATCAGATCTTCGTAGCTACCCGTGTTTAAGCAGACGTCTGTTTTTTATCTAAATATTCTAGAGATCGAAAGTATTAATAATGTCAAGTTGCTTCTCTCTCGTGGGTGTGTTCTAATGCCTTCACCTCAACGTCAGATGGCGGATGTAATGTAATGTTTTAGGCGTGTGTTTATCGGTTAGGTGCCATGCGTGATACACACTTAGGCGATCATGTATCTTTCGATATATGACTGACGAGGCAGATTTTTTCCCGCAGTAGGTTGCCATTTCTTACTGAGGTAGACCAGTTGCCATCCTGGGCTATAGAACACGGTCTGTCCTGCTATTTACCCATAGCTGGGGAAGAGGGAGAAGAAGAGGATTCATACCTTTCCTAAGGATATTAGCGTGTAAGTGAATATATTGGATTCGACTGGAATTCGAACTCGGCTCTCCGATTTCTCAATCCGAGTCGCTAATTTTAAAAACATTTTCTCCTTAAAGAATTAAAGTCTTTTTTTTTAAAAAAAAAAAAAAAAAAGAACTAACTTTACCAATTTGTCTATATTTCTGAGATGAGGTATTATGTACACTATTTACATTATTCGGACTATTGTCTTCATCTTTGTTGTCATATTTGTTACAACGTTTCGGCCTTTCAGTATCTGTCTGTATTTCTGAGATGAGGTATTATGTACACTATTTACATTATTCGGACTATGGTTGCTCATCTTTGTTGCCATATTTATTACAACGTTTCAGCCTTTCAGTATCTGTCTATATTTCTGAGATGAGGTATTATGTACACTATTTACATTATTCGGACTATTGTCCTCATCTTTATCGCCATATTTATTACAACGTTTCGGCCTTTCAGTATCTGTCTATATTTCTGAGATGAGGTATTATGTACACTATTTACATTATTCGGGCTATTGTCCTCATCTTTGTCCCCATATTTATTACAACGTTTCGGCTTTTCAGTATCTGTCTATATTTCTGAGATGAGGTATTATGTACACTATTTACATTATTCGGACTATTGTCCTCATCTTTGTTGTCATATTTATTACAACGTTTCAGCCTTTCAGTATCTGTCTATATTTCTGAGATGAGGTATTATGTACACTATTTACATTATTCAGACTATTGTCCTCATTTTTGTCGCCATATTTATTACGTTTCGGCCGTTGTACATTGAAGTCAACAATCAGACGATTGCGTCCAGTATGAAACAGCCTGTCGCTTCTGATTGTTGACTTCAATGTTCACTTTTATATTTAGATTTATATACGTAGTTTATCGTCATATCCAGGACGACTTAGATCTAAGTGTTGGGAGCTATCGCTCAGGTTGTGATGTTGGAAACTGTCTTTTAGTTTTGACGTGTTGCAATTTTTCCTTTAATCTAAGATAATTCCAGTTTGTCATGAACTAGGAATAAATCAGTATCTGTCAGTAAATGTTTATGAAGAATCTTCACTTGTTTTCTCTCATAATTTTTAAATCTTCCAAATTTCTGAGAGCAAGATGTGCTTTCATTGGATCTTTATTCGGCCCCACTTCATAAAATTATCATGCGTGATTTTAACATCAAGAACCGCTCGTTTTTCTTTCTTTTTGAATATGACTTTTCCTTCCCAAGACGGCCTACCATTTGTCTTCGTTTTCAACTCTTCTTTTGGCATGACCTCTTCCTACTCCCCCCTCCACCACCGCCTCCTCCCACCTCCAACTCCTCCTCCTCCTTCATATTAAAATATCAATAATTAGTGCTAAGGCTTTAATAATTCATGCAATTTATTGACGTGGATGTTATCTGTTATTTCACCAAATATTGACCCTCTTTGTAATAAGAGATTCCCGGAGGAGATTCTTTCCATTGAGTTTTCCAATTGGAAAGATAATTTTATATTCACAATTTTTTTTATTTATAATCTTATTTCATCTCTGGAAACGGTATTACTCTTATAATCATTATTATTATTATGATTTTTGTTGTTGTTGTTACTGATGTTGTTGTTCCTGATGTTGTTGTTGCTGCTTTTGTTGTTGCTGTTGTTTATTTATTTTGATTTGCTCTATGATACAATCAGTTACCAGGTCGTTCACTTGAGACCTAAGGTTAATGAAAGTTTCTCTTCGGGAGCTATTCAGCATATTGAATTGAAAGAATATTTTTCAAGAACTACGAGCAGTTCCCATTAATCGTCTTATTTCCTTGGATTTTCTGAAACATTCATATTTTCCTAAGACTACTAGAATAACGATTGTATTTAAATGCAACACTCTTTATTATTATTATTATTATTATTATTATTATTATTTGCTTGGATTTCTGTTGTATATACATTTCCTTCCGGGTCCCAACCAGACACATACAGTCAGAAATGACTTCATGACTTTTTTCAGTGATCATTTAAAAACAAAAAAAAACAAAAAAAACTAAGATCACACACATTTTACATCGATAAAGCTCTTCTTAATATGTGAGCCGAGTTCGAATTCCAGTCGAATCCATTACATTCACTTACGTGCTAATATACTTGGGAAAGGTATGAACCCTCTTCTTCTCCCCAAGACAGACCGGGTTCTATAGCCTTTGATGACGACTGGTCTACCGCAGAAAGAAATGGCAACCTACTGCGGGAAAAATCTGCTTCGTCAGTCAAGTATCGAAAGATACATGATCGCCATAACTGAACTGAATGTGTGAGTACAATTCTTTTGTCTATTTCATTAAGTCATTGGCTATCCGTTTATGAATTTTCCCTATCAGGCAGTATGATCATGTCAGAGAAATATCTATTATTTGATATCTTTTTACTATATCTTGTCCATGTTATCTATTTTAATGATAACGATATGCATCGGAAAATTCCAGAGCAAAGTAATCTGGAACGTGCTGTTTTTGCTAATACTATATTTCTGTGTTGGTATATCTCGGGTTACGTCGTTTCGAGTTAAGTCGTTCTCGATTATACGTCGTTTGTCAAAAAATATATATTTTTTGATAAAATAAAAATCAAGCTTAAGTCATTTTATTCGACCTTACGTCTGTCCGCCACAAATATTGAAGTCGTAATATCACTAGAAAAGCGTTAAAAGCACATAAAATCATGTTACTGTACAATAAATAAGAA